AGGGGGAGGGGCGGGGCATACCTGGGGTCTCTACCCGCTGATAGTGGTAGGGATTCACGCAGACCTCATCCTTCTTCATGTTGAAGGCGAACTCACACAGCTCCATGGCCCGCAGCTCGTGGTGGCTGTGCAGGTCAGGCCATCGCCACAGGCGGCAGTAGATGACATGGGGGAGCCCCTTCCGATGGGACACCTGCAGTCGGCCATCCAAGGACCTGCCGGGACAGGGAGGAGCAAAAAGAGACTCAAGTGGACCTGGCTGGCCTTCCCCAAAGCTCTGCCCGTGCTGCTCCGAGCAAGCTCGCGGGTCGGGGCTCCGAAACCCTCCCCTCGCTCCTCAGAGAAGCGCTGTTAGTGCTGGACGGGCTCCCAGAAGAACACAAAGGCCCATCAAGGAAGGCCGAGGCCTCCTAGGGCTGGCAGGGTGGGCCCTGAATTTCCAGGCCCTGAAGAGAGTTCTCCACCCCCAGCCCACCCCCATGGAAAAGGAATGGCACTTGAGTGACGGTCTGAACAGGTCCATGAGCCAGGTGGAGATGGGCGGGCGTACAGGGCTGAGCAAGAAAACCAGCTCTTTAGGAACAAACATGAGGGCCACAGGGATACTGAGAAGGTGACAAAGCACACCGCACGTCTCTAGTAGCTCTCAACAATCACCCGGTTCTCACACAACAGAAAACAAGGGGGAAAAAAAACCCCAAACATCTTTTAGGTGATATTTACGAGGAGGCAGGGAGGGAAACAGGGACACTAAAGGCACTTTAAAATGGCAAGAGCCTACACTGCAGACCTCTCAGGAGTCCCTTTCAGTCTGAGAGTTGGTTGCAAGTTGACACAGGTGTCACCCAGAGGGTGGTGCATTGGCCGAGCAGGAGCCGAGCCTGTAACTCCACACCACGATGAGTTCTGCCACCGTCTGCAGCCTGGATGGGCCAAACACACTGCAGTGGCAGGGCCCTATTCCTGCGCAAACCACGTCTTCTGAGTCAACCTGACCTCCGAGCAGCTGTGACCTCACCTCTCAGGCCAGGCCAAAGTGTGGTCCCGGGACCAGGAGTATGGGTCCACGGAAGCTCATTTAAAAGGCAGAGCCCCACCCCAACCCACTGAATCAGAATATCCCTTTTTATAAAGTCCCAGGTAACTGGATGACAGTCAAGTTGGAGCAGTGGACAGGACATAAAACCCTGGGGAGCTCAGGAGTGGCAGAAGCACTGTTGGCCAAGAGGAAGGTCGACAGGCAGGAGGCTTCTGAAGGGACATGAAGTTTCAGATGATGTCCAGTACCAGACAGGTAAGAGATTCTACTCACACATACAGTATTAACAAATATTTAATATTTTATCAACTCCTACTGCGTGTGGCGCTAGGGATAGACTAGTGTGCATGACTTTTCTAACAGCCGGGCAGGGCTTTTGCAAGCTCTCCCTCCCTGTCCCCACATGGCTGAGGGCACCCATCTGCCTGAACAAACAGGATTTATGGGCACCGTGTGCGGAAGGGGCTAGTCAGATGCACCCAGAAGCACCAACCAAACTGATAAAACCAGAGGAATCCAGTCAAAGTCTCCAGGCCACTGGCCTGGGGATGAAGACGAACAGACAAAGGTCAGAGCTGGGCTTGGTCACAGGGACTTACCCAGAGCTGCTGACTAAGGGTGTCTCAAAGAACATAATTACCTCCCTCCAGGGGCCCCCAGATCAAGGAACCCCTACAGCCAAAAAACAGTAATTACCAGGCAGAAGGGACAGCCTTGATTCCCCAAGGCATAGAAAGAAGACTGCCAGATAAGGAATCGTGAGACCTAGGGTCGAGATGGGGGCCTACTCTCCCAGCTGTGAGACACTGGGCAAGTTATGAGATTTCTGGGACCCTCAATTACTTCACCTGTAAAATGGGAACATTTTCCCACATCCCCCTTGACCTCCAGCAGCTCCATATCTACTTGAAAGAACTTTGGGAAGGACCAACCAATGAGTGTTGTTCCACATGACAACAGCCACTCTGCAAAGTCACTGAGTGTCCATAGATTAGAGAAGTGTGATGTTTGCTCCTCAGTGTCTGACAAAAGCCCCTAAAAGGGCCAGCTGGACATCTAGAGCTACCTCTGCAGGGGGAGGACCTGGAGAGAGGCTCAGGCCAGCAGCAAGGGAAGGATGGGCTGTGGATGGAGCCCCCCACCCTGGCCTGGTTGATGGAAGGGGGCACGCTCTTACTTTAAAAATAACAGTAATACTCAGCAGGAGGCAAGGTGGTGATGGACAACGCAGGAGAACTCTCAACTTTCACAGGGCAGAGAGCCTAAGAGACTGAAGAGCTTGGCTGTCCATTGGAACAATCATCACACAGAAAGCTCCAGACAAAGAGGAAGAAGGGGGAGAAAGGAGGAGAAGGGGGAGAAAGGAGAGGGGTACATGGGAGAGGGTAGAGAAGGTGGGGGAGGGGAGGGAGCGAGGAGGGAGAAAGGGAGAGAGATGGATGGGGGAGGGAAGAGGGGAGAGGGGGAGGAGGGTAAGAAATGTCCTTCGGTTAAATAAAACAAATTGAATGGATGCATTTATCTCTGCCCTGCCCAAAACAACGAGTGGGAAAGCAGAGCAGACAAAAGTGGAAAGCAGATGGCCAAATGGGAACAGACTTAGCAGAGTGGAGAGAGCTGAAACCAAGGCCTATCAGAGGAAGCCATAAACGTGATTCCATTTGGGCCTCAGAACCCGGGAAAGGCTCAGGAATTGAAGGTACCACACACTTTTCAAGATGAGGCTGAAAACAGGAAGATGGGTTCAAAGTCTACAAAAGAGGCAGTTAGATCCCAGCCCCTCTTTCCAAGTCCCCACAAACAGGCCTCTCCAATCCTGCGAGAGACTGGTGCTTGCTCTCTGCAGAAAATAAACGCGAGAGGGGGCTCTGGATGGGGCCACCGGGGTACAGCTTGGGATGAAGGTCAGATAAGGGCTGGGATGAGGATTCCTGGAGGCTCCCTTGCTCACTTGGTACCCAGGACAGTGACAAATGGTCTGTGTCCCCACCCGCTCCTGTAGAAGAACAGCTCAGCCCACAAGAGACCTGCGATCTGACTTTTGGGGATTCCAGCCCAATAAAGTGACCCTATTCCTGCCAGCTCCCCCTACACAGGGTAGCCCACCAGCCAACAAGCTGGAGCATTTAAGGTTTTTTATTGCCTCACTCTTAAATATGAACACACAGCCAGATCCTGGCCTTTGAAAGAAAGCTACTAATAGGAGGCATAGAGAAAGAAATAAGAATGGAGGGAAAAAGCCACTCTGAGACAAGAAAGAAGAAACTTCCAAAGTAAATAAAACAAAACAAACACTACTCTCTGGGAGATAAGATATTGCAATCTTAAAATAGAAACATTTATAGACTGTTAAAAAATAAAACCTCTTGGAAACAAAAAATAAGAATATAAATTAAAAATTCAAGAAAGAATCAAGGACTTCTTGAATTCTTAAACTATTATCTACATGAGTTATTTTGATAATATAATTAAATTTTTAAAAAGCAAGGAAGCTACAGTAATCAAGGCAGTGTGGTAATGACAAAAAACAAACAAAACCCCCCCGAGAAACAAATGATGGAACCTAGCAGAGCACAGAAATAGTCACATATATAAGGACAACTGATTTTCGACAAAGGTCCAAAAACAACGAGAAAGGACAGTCTTTTCTGCAAATGGTGCTAGAAGAGTTGGATATCCAAATGCAAGAAAAATGAACTTCAATCTACACCTGGCACCCCATACAAAAATGAGCTGAAGTGGGTCAGGATATAAAAGCCTAAAGCAATGCAACTTCTAGAAGAAAACATAGGAGAAACTCTGCGTGACCTTGTGATAGGCAAATGTTGCTTAGATATCACACCACAAACACATTCCAGTTTTTAAAAGCGATAAATTCAACTTTATCAAAATGTAAGCTTCTGGTCTTTGAAAGTCACTGTTAAGAGACTAAAAAGACAAGACACAAATTGGGAGAAAATATTTACAAAGTATACATCTGATAAAGGACCTAGGTCTGAAATATATAAAGAACTCTAAAAACTCAATATTAAGAAAACAAACAACCCAACTACAAAAAAACAATAAAGTCATTCCACCGGGATGCAAGGCAGCCTGCACCAGAGCTGCGGGTGAGGCCAGCTCTCCTGGTTGCCAGGCTGGACCGACGGCAGAGAGACGGCACATTCTCCTGGTCACGAGCACATGACCACTGGTCCGGCTTGGCAGTATTTTCCAGAAGTCGTCTGGTCTGTGCCCTTGCTTCTGGGCCATACAATTCCCTAACTCATGATGGGGATGGCATGTCAGTCACCCCCAATGCATCAACAACAACTCTTCTTGGTTCAGCCTGGGCTGCCCAGAGCCAACCCTGAGAGTCCTCTCTCCGTCCCACTCAAAATACACACCACTGCTGACCAAAGTAATAATAGTGAATTGGGAGTTTCAGCTGCTGGATTTAATTCAGCTGATGTGCCCATTACACACCCTCCCCAGCCTTACCGGGCACCAGGCCTATTTTAAGTAAATCCAATAAATAGGTCTTAATTCTGAGCTGATGTTATCATAACATGCTCGGTTGTAGAAAAGAATCTATTTATGACCCACTCTCCTGACCAGCCCTTCTCGTAGTCCAAGACCAGCTGCTGGGGCTAAGACAGTTCTAGGAACCTGCCTTTGGACCCCTCCCCACACCCAGTGGCCTCCTGATGAGAGACCCCCAAAGTCTTTCTCCAGCAACTCTCTCCAGCTCCTTTGACGGAGGTTTTAATCCTTAAATATATTCTTCACCAGCTGAACCATTTCCTGTGGCAGGAAATTAGGTTTCCTCCCATTGGCTCCAAGTGGGACCCATAAAGTGTCCCAAAATGGTGGTTGAAGCCACAGCCAAGGATGTGGACATGCCGGAGTCCAAAGCCAACAGTGAGGGGAAGCCTGCCAGAGAGCTCCCGGGGGGAGGGCAGGGCTGGGGCCCACCTCCTGCCATAGGCCACTCATGTCCTCTGTTACCGGTGACCATCTACCCACAGCCATCTGCAGGCCGATGTGAACACTGGTGGATTTGGACATGGGCTTGGGGAGAAGACTGCAAGCAGAGAACATAAGCTCCAAAAACACACGAAGATCTGTTCAGCATGAACCATGTGCCAGGCACATAGCTATTGTGTGAGAATATAAAATGGCAAAGCCCAGTATATC